GGTTTGCAGGCAAATGGATGAATCTAGAAAAAAATCATCCTGAGTGAGGTAAACCAGACTCAGAAAAACAAACATGGTATGTACTCACTCTTATGTGCATACTAGATGTAAAACAAAGGATGACGAGACTGTTACTCACAACTCTAGGGAGGCTACCTAGTAAACTGGACCCTAAGAATGACACAGGGATCACCCAAAGTAAGAGAAACAGATGAGATCTACATGAGCAAACTGGATGTGAGGGGGCAGGTAATAAAGGACATGGGTTGGGGTTAAGAGAGCTCAGGGGAGTGGGAATTCCCAGCTGCATCAGGAACAAAGAGGGAGACCAGAAGAAGAGAGAGCATGATAAATGAAGACACCATAGAAATAGGAAGAATCAAAGTGCTAGAGAGGTCCACAGAAATCCACAAAGATACCTCCACAATAGACTACTGGCAATGGTCAAGAGAAAGCGCAAACTGACCTACTCTGGTGATCGGTTGGCCAGACAACCTAACTGTCATTGTAGAACTCTCATCCAATGACTGATGGAAGCAGATGCAGAGATCAATGGCTAGGACCCAGGTAGAGCTTCGGGAGTCCAATAGACAAGAAAGAGGAGGGATTATATGAGCAAGAGATGTTGAGACCATGATTGGAAAAAGCACAGGGACAAATAACCAAACTAGTGGAAACACATGAACTATGAACCAAGAGCTGAAGAGCTCCCAACTGAATCAGGCCCTCTGGATAAGTGAGACAGTCGATTAGCTTGAACTGTTTCAGAGACTCCCAGGCAGTGGGACCTGGATCTGTCCCTAGTGCATGAGCTGGCTTTTTGGAGCCTGAGACCTATGCTAGGACACTTTGCTCAGCCTGAGTGAAGGGAAGAAGGGATTGGATCTGCTTCGACAGAACCTCCAAGTCTGAGCAGAATCTCCACAGTAATGCTTGCTCTGGAGGAGATGGGAATGGGGGGTGTATTGGGATACAAGGGAGGAGCAGGGGGGGGAGAGGGAGGAGAGAGGACATGGGAATCCGTGGCTGATATGTTAAATTAAATTAAATTATATGATTTAAATAAATAATAAAAAAAAGGAAGGCAGAGTAGGCCATTCAACAACTATTGGGGTCCATGCCAACAGGCACTTACCGATAGAAGACTGTCAGGTTGGCAAGCTCATCCACCTTCTCTGAAGCCTCCTTGTTCTCATTCTGCAATCTCTGTAGGTCATTCATGACCTCCTCATGCTCCATCCTCAGATCTTCATACCAAGTATTTGGCCTGTGGGAGGGCAAGGTACCAGGAACAAAGAACTTCATGAATATAGGCCTCAAGGATCATGTGAATACAGGCTGTTGTCCTGATCTACCACAACACAGTGGAGGTCTCAGTCTGGCTACTATGTACTGAAACTTCCTGGTGCTTAATTAACTTGTAATCCTGGCCCAGGCCAACAGAGACTGGGTGTTCAGATAGAGGGTGTCCTTGCTGAGTACATGAGTCCACTCAATAGGCCTGGAGAGGCAGTCAAGCTCTCTGTTCCCAGGAGTCTATGCTACAGGTCTTGGCCCACAAGAAACCTGCAATGATGATTCTCTTATTTCAGGACAAGGATACTTGAGCCTGGCCCTTACTACTGCACAGATGGACAGAGCACATAATTCTGGGGATGACACCCAATATCAGGACAGCTATAAAATCTCCCCAAGGGATACCTATTTGGCATCAAGGTGAACAAATAGAACAAGAGCAGAGCTGCTTAAAGTGAGGATCACAGATCTCATATCAGCACTGGCATCAGTTGGAAGTGTGAGTCAGGCAAATCCTCAGGCCCAACATCGATGACTGCCTCCCAGAGTCTGGAGGGACACACAAACTTGCAAATGCACATACACACAGAGACACAGAAACAGAAAGACAGACAATCAGAAAGACACACACACACACAAACACACACACACACACACACACACACACACACACACACGCCAGCACACATGCTCCATGCATACAGGAGAGAGACAGAAAAAGAGAGAGAGAGACAGAGAGAGAGAGAAAGGCAGAGAGTGCAAGAAAGAGTGAAGGAGAGGAGAGCACACATGGGATACTGAAGAAATGTGTGGAGCAATATTGTCTAAGAGTATAACTCACAAGAAATAGAAAAACAGAGACAAGCTCCAGGACTATCAGTCACTCATTGAAATAAGTCAGATCAGGTCTGACAAGATGCTAAAAGGATCTTCCAGCACATAATTACCTACCAGGCAAGTTCAAAGACTCACACAAACACACAGCAGCTAGTATCTCACACAAGCCATGTCATGGTCTTTTCAAATGCATGCTGGGAACTCAAAGAATACTGTATCAGTCCCTAAGTTGTGTGACTCAGACTCCAGGCTTGGGTTTTCATTGGAGGAAGCAGAATATTTAGGAACCCCATCTCCCTCCTGCCCAGGTTTCAAGTTCTGCCTCTTTATTGAGAGGCATTTAGGGACATGAAGGAGGGCACATGGAAACCCTCCTAACCCAAGCTCCTAGAATCCAAGATGTTAAAATGAAGATGAAGGTAATTTGAAGATGCAAAATTGACACCAGAAAGGTTGAAACAAGAGATACCAATTGGGCACGGGTCCTTTCCTGATGAAGAATACTTGATCACGCAGCTCATTTCTCTCCCTTGTCACCACCTGAAGCTCCATGTTCACCCTCTGCATCTCCTTCCTCACCCCTTTCTTGGTGAGGAGGGTTGGGTGGGATGAGGTCTCCATAGCAGCCTCTGTGGGTAGATGAACACAAGTGAACTTGCATAGTGACAAGGCATAGAGGATGGACAGACCACCCTGAGGCCCAAACAGAAAGATCAGGTCTGTAACCCAGTGACAATCCAAATATTTGAGGCCAGGTGAAGATGTACTCTCTGTGGATCTCAGCTTTCCCTTCATTCTGTAGAGATGTGACTATGTAAGCAGCCAGGGGTTTCCTCTGCCTCCCTACACAACTTCAGGGGACACAGAGATGGCTTCTTCGGGCAAATACATAGCAGCACAAGATGCAACATGCATGGACCCAGAGCCCTGAAGTCTGCCTGTGCTTTCAGAAGCCAGGAGAAAAATAACACAGTGCACAAGCACTCAGGTGCTGTGGACAGTCCATATCTCCTGCCTGGTCACTCCAGGCCCATGTCTGGGATTGTAATGTCATGCAGAGACACAACATGCTTAACAGACTCACCAAGTCATCCCACTGCCAGCCCAGAACATGCAGAGCTTGTACAAAGGAGCCAATCTCTGCCCTGGTTCCACATCTCTACAGTTGTTTGACTACACTAGAGATCTACCTGCCATCTCTCCTGCTGATTCAGGACCCTAACGGACCACTGTCAGAGAGAGGTGGTCAGAGGAGTCTGCTGGACAGCCTGAGGACATGATGTCTTGGCCAGAAGCACTTGTCTCTCCATGTGACTAGTGTTGACAGCCACTGCATCTAAAGGAAACTCCCGAAGCTGAAGTGCAGTGATGCCTAGCCTCAGCTGGGGACACATTAGTCTCTCTGCCTCCTGCTTGTCTCCTTCTGTCCCCACATTACACCCCCAAGACCGAAGAAATGTAAAAGATAAGCATGCCCAGCATAACAGCCTTGGCCTTGCTAGATCTTCACATAGAGGAGGCACACACTAATGTTCTGGACCCTGGACTTTCAGGAAATATGAGAAGCAGGGAAGTCCATTTGCTTCTCAGAGGTTCCAGCTCCCCTGCCCCATTACTGGAGGGCCCAGGTCTAGCCCACCTCCTCCAGGAAGTCCCCATCTCCTGCCCAGCACTCACTGTGTCTTCCCCAGAAACCCTTTTTGGTTGTTTTCCTCTGAGACTCAAGACCAGCCTCCTTCTTTCTCTCTCTGTTCTC